GTTTATTACCATAGAGGGAGAGAGAACACACGCTATGGGCAGTCTCAGTTAAAGAGTATTAGGACCCATTCATTTGGGTAATTTTGGGAAGGCTCTAAGGAAGTGGAGTTCCAAACTGTATTGTTGGAAAGTTGGGACAATTCCATCGTTTGACATCTTAATACGAGGAGGGCAAGACTAAAGCAGAGGAAAAGCTGTAATTGATGAAGAAGTAGCAATCACTTAATGAGTTAGAGAGGAAGATGTGTTTGGTATTTTGTGTTAGGTCAACTTGTCTGAAATGGCTGTTCTGTGAGGTTGTTGATGTCTAGGAAAACAGTACACTTTCTTTGTAAGCATCAGATCAGTTTGGAATAACATTCAGATGTAGGATGAGCCTCCTATCAGTTCCTGGACTGTAGGGCTACTGTTTTTTGTTTTTTGTTTTTTTCCCTTTTCTTAGTCCTCCCTTTTGACCAGCGACTGATGGAGTTGGGCTGCAGGGCATCATTGATTTATGATGTCTGCATCTTCACTGTTGCTGAGACTTTGTTGAATAGGATCAGAGGAATGGCCATTCCGTGTAGTCTGTAGTTGAGCCAGCTTTATTAATCCTTTCTCTTCTTGTGAGTGGTTGAACCATCTGATATGACAATGGCGGTTCGGTAACAGTAAGACTCTGGAAGGGATATATACATACCTGATTATAACACCCAAGTCCCGTGGTTTTCCTCCTACTTCTTTGTCTGTTTTCTAGCTCATCCCATCCCATCGCCATATATAATCCATTTCAAAGACTTATTTTAACCTTTTAAAACTCAGATAGTTGGTTCTCATTATTGTCTGTACGTAGTACTATCAAGTTACCATGAACATTGAATTAGTGATACTGAGCCATTACTTCTAGGGGAAATATGGTGGTAGTTTCCTGTGAGCCTCTACTCACAGCATTTTCACAGTTGATCAGTTCATAACCTTGTTTTATGTTTATTTCTGTTTAAAGACAACCTTATTTAATATATGTTGTTGATTCATTCACATTGTGCTCACAGCCAGTAGCGCTATTACTTCATGCCTGAGAAAAGCTTATCTAATACATGTATTTTTTTCCTGAAAGACACAGCTTTCTTGTTCCTAGGAATACTAGACAGCACTACACTATGCTTGGGGCCCATTTTAAACAGCAAAATTAACCAGCAACAAAAAGCACAAACGTGAAAGATGTGGCACTAGATAGAGGATACTTTTTATGGTATGTGAGCTGAAACAAGAAGGCATTTACTCTGCTAGTAATGTAAGAATTGATTGTATGTCCATTTTTTCCCTCCATAGATTGTCATAATCCTAATTGTAGCTACCATCATTTCTCACTTAGACTGCTACAGTAATTCTCCTAACTTTCTCCATTCATTTTGGGTAAATGAGAATTGGGTCTCTCTACACTTTGATGATAGTGTAGCTGGAGTAACGTTTCTGAAATACACATTTGATCATTTCAGTATACTGCCCATCTCTGACCTAGATGCCTTTCAATAGCCTCCCATTGCTCTTAGAATAAAGACAATAAATAAAGACCCCCAACTTTCTTCAGTCTCTTGGCCCTTGCTTACATGTCTGTCATTCCCCAACCCCACCCCCCGCAAATTCCTGCCTATGCTTCAGAGTTCAGTCTTTCCTGATGCACGACACTTAGTGCAACCTACATCAGGTTACTTTATTAAACCTTTGAGTATTCTTTGTGCCCTATTCCTTTCCTTCCCTTCCTAGCATTTATCTCTGTTCATAATTACATATATCATTAACCCATATATGTAGTTTTTAAAACTAATATGTCTCTGTATTGTAAGCTCCAAGACAATAGGAACTGTTTGCTTTTGCCATCTCTTGTTTATACAGCGTTGAGCATAGTACCTGATACATAGATAATAGGTTCTCATTACATAGTCAGTGAGTATTTCAGATCTTTCTTATCTTGACGTCAGCCTACATTTCCATCTTCTTGTTAGATTTCTTTCTACCTGCCTCTGTCCCAGCCACACTTAACTGCTTCTTAGCCTTTCACTCGAAAGTGTTAGTCCCTCAGCACTGTTGCTGCTGCCACCACCCCACACCAACACAGACAAAAATAAAAATTTAAAATTCCAAACCAGCTTTCCCCAGGCACACTCCTGTTAATCTTTTGAAATCCAAACTAACTGTCAGTTCTTTGGTGTGATCAGTGTCAAATGTCCTTGAGTATTTTTAAAAATCTGTAAGATTGAGATTTGTCCATGTACCTGCCTGTCTGCCATAGTAAGTGAAAAGATGAGGAGGAAGGGACTGGGTCTGTTTTATCATCTTAGGTCTTAACACCATGCCTAGAGCATTATTACGTGCTTAAGAGACATTTTACAAATTGGCTTTTGAATCTGCCATGAACATGAACAGCTTTTTATCTGGTTAAACAACTTCTTAACAGGATGATTTATAGTGCAAATTTCTATATCAAATTAAAGAAGGAAGAAATTCTTAGAACTTTCTGGTTGGGGGTCACTTTTAAAAAGTAACTCTTGGTATAACTTCAAACTATCTCAATCCGTTTTTTCTGATTTTTAAAAATACTACCTATTGCTGATATTACTGGGATTCATTTCAGCTTTCAAAAATGTTTAACTGTTAGTCATCGATTTGTTAAAAACATGGAAGTATAGTTGATATACAATGTTATATTCGTTTCAGGTGTACAACAAAGTGATTTGACAGTTCTAATTCTCTACATGACACAGTCCTCACCATGCTAAGTGTAGTCACCATACAAAATTATTACAGTATTAGTGGCTGTATTCCCTGTGCTTTACTTTTCATCCCTGCCATTTATTTTATAACTGGAAGTTTGTGCCTCTTAATCCCCTTTAATACCCTCTAGGCCCATCCATGCATGTTGTTGAGAGGCAGTATTTCATCTTTTTTTGTGGCTATTTCATAAAATATTCCATTGTTCTTTAATCCATTTATCTGTTAGAGGATACTTAGGTTGCTTCCATATGTTGGCTGTTGTAAACATAGGGGTGCGTGTACCTTTTTGAATTAGTGTTTTTTTTTTGTTTGTTTTGGTAGGTACCTAGCAGTGGAATTACTACATTGTATGGTATTCATATTTTTAATTTTTTGAGGAACATCCGTGCCATTTTCCACAGTGGCTGCACCATTTTGCATCCTACCCACAGGGAACAGGGTTTCCCCTTTGTCCGCATCCTTGCCAGTGCTTGTTATTTCTTGTATTTTTGATACTAGCCAATCTGACTGGTGTGAGGTGATATCCTGTGGTTTTGTATTAATCCTAGATTTTTGAAAATCAGTAGACTTCTCTGAGGTCAGGAGCCAAGGTTTATTTACTTTTTATCTATCCTTTGCTCACTCATAGTCCAGCCTTTGTAGCATAATAGGCAATGAATAAGTAAGTGGCATATAAAGGAAAGAATCTGTTTACCAGTAGACTCCCTTCAGAACCTTAAAACAACTTTTTGCATTGGGATTATTTGCCTTTTTTACCTAAATTAATGGCCATGTTCTCTTCAACCAGATGATGAGCATTTCAGGGGTCTTTAGAGGTCCTAACTACTCTGGTTTTATTTCATGATTTTATGGAAGTAAAATGGCTATTTTTAATGCTTTGTATGTAGAATTCCTGCATTAGTATGCTATTACTCAGTTTTTGTTTTTTTCTAGAATATTGTGTGGTTTTAATTTCATTTGTCATATAAAATGGGGAGGGGCTATCAATTACAACTGTGTTCATTTTAAAAGAAGTACATGCTTACTTTACCTTGTATAATCCCAATTTGAACACAGACTTTTTAAACTGTTTCACAAAACTTGGTAGGAATTGCACTTGCATTGTAGCTTAAAACTTTATTAAATTAACATTAAGTGAACATACTAACTCTTTAAATAACAAATAGTGAATTGCTAAATTAATAAATTGTTTTGCCAATCCTTACCACATAGTTTATTGCCTGTATTGCCAGACTATCTGCATAGCTGTTTATCATTTCAGCTCCAATAGTTAGTGTTTTTTAATTGATTGATTTAATTGAAGACACAGATTTTGACATTTCTATATGTAATATAAATAGTACACTTTTACTCAAACTTGATCTGGTTCAGATACATGAAAAAGGCATTTAAGTATTTGTTACTGCAGTTAGGTTATTTCAATAGGTAGAGAAGAGCCAGAATTAGGGGAAAAATTCATTCAGCCTTCAAACAGATTGGGGAGGCTTTATTTCAGTGTGATTATCTGTTACTCTTGAGAAATTACTTTTAAAAAACAATGAATCGGCTAGTGAGGTTTATGAGAAAAAAATACCTTACCTTATTTTTGTTTCCTATTCAACCCTTTCATTTAAAGCTGAGATTAGACAGTTGATCACTCTAGGGTTTTTGTTAGGCTATTTATTCAGTATGAAACTTGTCTTTGGCAGTAGTTCTTGAGGGGAGGCTGCTGGATGTCAGATGGAACAACGTTCTAGAATTGCCTCTTCACCATTTTGAAAATACACCTGATAAACCTTGTGATGGGAGTTGGAGTGGAAGTGAGAATTTGTATTTTGGAAATTTCCCAGTAATTTTTTAATATGTGACCCCCGCCCATCAATCCAATAGAGAATATTATATAGGAAGGTATTATGTTTGTAGTTCAAGACTTCCTAGATAATTATATAGGAAGGTATTATGTTTGTAGTTAAAGACTTCCTAGATAAAATTCAAATCACATGCAAAGGAAAAGGTAAAGAGGAGTTTTTCTGCTCTTAAAAGCAGTGATAAAATTAATTATGAAAATGAAAGAGCACTCATGGTAGATCCTATCAGTAACTTAAAATAGAACTGACCTGGGAAAGATAATTTAAAGTGATGGTACTTTATTTAAAAGAGTTTGTTAGGACTTAAGAGAGTTAGGTAAGGATGATAGCATTAGTTTGAAAGATACGATCTTTGTGCTTAAAAAATTTAAATTATCAACAAATTTAATTTTTTGATAGGTTTATGGCTACAAATGATTTGATGACAGAACTGCAGAAAGATTCCATCAAGTTGGATGATGACAGTGAAAGGAAAGTAGTGAAAATGATTTTGAAGTTACTGGAAGATAAAAACGGAGAGGTACAGAATTTAGCTGTCAAATGGTAAGTGTTTTTTACTTGCTTCCTACCCCTACCAGCCCCATTAAAAGACTCAGTGTAATAGTTGGTAAATTATTTTAGTCTTGTACTATGTCTTTGCGGAATATTCTTTAGAATTTACGGATGAGTGGTAATGTTTAATGTTTGTATATGGTACGTATGATGCACTTCTTAAAGTTTCTTTTTTTTTTCTTTAAAGATTTTATTTATTTGATAGAGCAAGAGAGCACAGCAGGTAAAATAGTAGAGGGAGAAAGGGAGCAGTAGAGGGAGAGGGAGAAGTAGGCTCCCCACTGAGGAAGGAGCCCGATGCAAGACTTCCCAGGATGCTGGGATCATGACCTGAGCCAAAGGCAGATGCTTAACTATCTGAGCCACCCAGATGTCCCATACATTTCTTAAAGTCTTTTATGGTATTTTGATTCATACGAAATACGTAATGGAAACTGCAGACAGAGTGATTATCTCACTTGTTTGACCTGATTTTTTTTAGCCCAGTTTAGAAGGCCTACCTGCCTCTGTCCATTTCTGTAGGAAAATTTAAGAACCAGTGATCAAGGGAAGTAAGAAATAATAAGACTTTATAAAGAACAGCAGCATTTAAAATCATAGTTAGCACAAATTCAGACTGATGATACAGCAGTTACAAAGAATTTTTCCTAAAAATGGTGGGAATTCCAGTTGTCTTTGTGTACAGTGCAGTAGGAGGATATTATTAGACATGGTATTGACAGTTTGACTATTTTTAGTAATAGGGTACAGAATTTGAGCTCTCAGTAAATTATGTTAATGGATTATTTCATTTATGTGTATCAAATACTAGAAAACCTTAACAATTTACATAGTAAGTTATTAGAAAGTATAGCCTTTAGTTTCATACAACAAACACTGGAATTTTATATCATTTTGTATGTCCTGTAATAATTAGGCAACAATTTAAGTAAAACATTGCCTCATTATGACTCCTTTATTGCACTTAAAAAAAATTTTTTTAAAGATTTTATTTATTCGAGAGAGAGAGAGCGGGCACACACAAGGAGGAGTGGGGAAGGGTGGAGGGAGAGGGAGAAGCAGATGCCCCACTGAGCAGAGAGTTTTCCGGGATCATGACCTGAGCAGAAGGCAGATACTCAACTGACTGAGCCACCCAGGTACCCAACATTGCATTTTATTACAAAGGTTTTAAGTTTGTTTTAGGCTTAGGTTTTACATACCTGCTATAAAAACGTGAGAAATCATTGGTCAGCATAGAGTTTCTAGACATGCAGTACAATTTTCTTTAACTTGGGATATTTGCAAGTTTAAAACAAGTCTTAAAAACGTAAGTTGGAGAATAATGCAGTGAGTATAATTTTACTTTAGTAATTTTCCTCTTTTAATTTTTTTGCCTGTGCTTAATAAAATTAAATATTGTTCAAAATATATGATGAACATCTACCAACTTTTAAAAGTGGTTAATATAAGGTAGTCTTTGTCCGAAATTGAGAGTTGAGAGGTACATAGGTCTTACTTACTTGTGTAGGAATCTTCTCATTAGGAACCTGAGCTTTTAGTCTTTTGAAGACCTTTTATTCTTAAAATGTAACAGATTGGGGGGAAGAAATGGCATATATTCAAGAAAAAAAGGAATGAAGATAAAAACAAAAGTAATATAGGAGGAGATAAAAACCCAAGAACTGATTTTTAGAGGAGGGAAAATCACAATAGATAAATTACTAACTAGCCTTATCAGGAAATAGGGAAAATTGTCAAAGAACTCATCACCCAAAAGAAACTCAGGCCCAGAAGTCTTTAACACACGTCTTTGAAACCTCAAAGAACAGATAATTCCAGTACAGAGAGTTCTAGTACTATTCCAGTACATAAAACTTCCCAATCTTTTATTTAAACCAATTACTGATAACATATCCTGACTGAGGATAACACTGAAAAAGAAAACTACAGACCGTTTAAATGTTCAGATATAATCCAGCAATACAGTAAGTGTGACATACCATGACCACGTGAGATTAATTCCAGGAATGAGGGCGGTTCAGTATTATATGCTTTGTTAATATATTTCATTATGTTAGTAGATAAGAGGAAGAAAAAACAGTTGTCTAGGCACTGTTAAAATTCAACATTGATGCTTGATTAAAACAAAGACACCAAAACACAACACTTACTTAGGCTACTTAGTGTAATTAGGAGTGAAACACCTTCCGAAGACCATCATCATACTCAGTATGTCACTGGAGTGAAGAACGGATCAGGGATGCTTTATCTCACTTGGGAGAATTCCCTACCTGTTTCTAGGGAAACATTTAATAACGGAGTTGGTAAGACCTTTTTTAACATCAGGCGTACACACACATACACATACCTTAACCCAAAAGCCAGATACCTTTACACTAATTACCAGATACCTTTACACTAATGTCAGTAACAAATCAAAGATGGTTTTCTGTCTCCACTACATTCTTTTTTTTTTTTTTTTTTTAAGATTTTATTTTTTTATTAGAGAGACTGAGACAGCGAGAGAGGGAACACAAGCAGGGGGAATGGGAGAGTGAGAAGCAGGGTTCCCGCCGAGCAGGGGAGACCATGCTGGGCTCGATCCCAGGACCTTGGGACCATGGCCTGAGCTGAAGGCAGATGCTTAATGACGGAACCACCCAGGCGCCCCTCCACTACATTCTTTTTGAAGGTATTAGCCACTATAGAACAAGGGAGAATAAAATGATATGCATAAGAATTGGAAAAGGTAATGAAAATAAGTCAGTGAAGAAAAAAATTTCATGTGGACAGTAAGAAGTCAGTGAAGTAATGGGAAGTCAGGGAAGGTAATGAAGAAAAATGTGTAATTCTCATATAAACAGTAACCAATTGGAAGATCTCATGGAATCTAATGTCCATCTATTACAGCAACAGAAAGACAAAATGCCTAGGAATTAAATGTAACAAGAAATGTTACAATGGTGACCTTGAGTGAGGGTATTGAATAGTGTAGGTACGGTTACAATTTTATCTTTTTCAAAACTTAAGGAGAACTTTAAAATATTCTTGACCCCTAAAAAAATGTACTTGGAACAAATGGAAAGACATTCCATGTTCTTGGATTGAATAAATCAACAAAGTTATTGGTTCTCTTCAAGCTAATTCAATGCTAACTTAATTGTAAAAAAATATTTCACAAGTTAGACAAGTTGATTTTAAGGTATATTTTGGTGGGAGGCAAAGGGCAGGTGTTTGTTTTCTCAAGATAGTCAAGAAAACTGAAAAAGTGTAACAGTTGCTGAAATAGTTGTTGCTTAGCCCTACTAGATATGAAAAGAGGCTATTATGTTTCTCTAATCAAAGCAGCGCAGTAGTGAGGCATTAATGGACAAGTGGAGTAAAATAGAAAGTATGTGATAGAAAGTTGGATTCTTTTTTTAAAGCTTTTTATTATTTATTCAACAGAGATAAAGAGCACAAGTAGGCAGAGCAGCAGGCAGAGGGAGAGGGAGAAGCAGGCCCCTGGGATCATGACCCAAGCCGAAGGCAGCCGCTTAACTGACTGACCCACCCAGGCGCCCCGGATTTATTTATTTATTTTTTTTTTAAGGACTGGCTAACTATTTGGAAAAGATATAATGGTATCCTTACCTCACATACAACATCCTTACTGAAGGTCACTGTTCACTTTAAATTAGTTTTGCCTGTTTTAGAACTTCATATAAGTGGAATTATACAATATGTTCTCTTTTGTGTCTAGCTGACGTACTCCTCACGTCTGTGAGATTCATCCGTGTTGGCTATATTAGTATTTTTTGACTTTCTATCATTGATTAGTAGCCGTCTGGATAACCAGGCTGTTCGTACATTTGGTTTCTTTCTAGAGTTTGGCTATTGTGAATAGAGATAGAATGAACATTCTTGTATGAGTTCTTTTTAGGAAATGGTCTTTTTTATGGATAAATACCTAAGAATGGATTTGCTGTGCTACATTTAGATTTTTAAGAAACTGCCAAATTGTTCCCCCAAGTATTTGTATCATTTTACATGAAAGTACCAGTTGTCGCCACATTCTCACCCATGCTTGGTTTTGTCACTCTTTAATTTTAGCCATTTTAGTAAGTGTATAGGTGTAGTTTTAATTTACACGTCCCTGATAACTAGTAATGTCCAGTGCTGTTTTGTGTGTTGGATTTTTTTTTTTTTTGGACTTTTCCTGATTTTTTTAAGTGAGGTGGTTTTCTTATTTTTTTTGTTTTAAAAGATTTTATTTATTTATTTGACAGACGGAGATCACAAGTAGGCAGAGAG